TACATGTATGATACCAGCGATAAAAACGACTGCGGATGCTGAGAAGATCTTCAAAGGGGCGCTATTGGACAATTTCAGAGTCACGATTTCTAGATGGTATCGTGTGCCGAGTCCGCTGTGGGTGATGAAGGATGAGTGGTATGCGGCCGTGAGGCGGGAGTTTGAGGAGGGGTGTTAGACGCGTTGGAGAAGTGGAAATGGAAGAAGAAGGGTCATATGGTGCACGATATTAGCTACGGGCAAGATATAACTTCATTCCCACCCCAAACTCTCCAAACACCAGGCCACCGATATGAAAAGTCCATCATCATCTTCCATAACCCTCATCTCAGCGCCTTCCTCAATTTCCTCATTTCATCACTCCTACCACTCATTATCCTCACCAAACCAATACCCTCCAGGCATGTTCACACCCCATCCGGGTTGGCCGAACGAATACGGATCACCCAAGCTAGCATGCATACGCGGTCCGCGGTTAGAGTTAACGCGCGGTCTCCTCCGTAGCTCCGTTGAGTAAGGAGGGCTCACACTGCGGTAGTCGCCTGCGCGGTAACCTTGACGTGGTTCTTCGTAGCGGTTGCGCGGTGGGGAGATGCCACGCCTGTATGCGTAGGGGTTATGTTGGGCCCATTCTCCAGGGGTGAAGCGCGGGTACATGGTTGCTTCTGCTGGAAAGTTGAGCTGGGGTGAATTTACTGGCTGATGGTGCTTTGGTGCTTTGTGTTGTGGTGATTGGATAAAAGATGTAGTGGAGAATGAGTTGGCTTTGTTGATGTGGTAAAGGTGCAGGATAGCTCTGTGCTTTTATACGTGGGCGACATGATGAATGCATGAAGGATGGTGACCGGAGTATGAGGTGTTGCGACAAAATCGGGTGAGTTGGCGGATCTTGGGACAGCGATGCGCTGGCCCGGAGTGATGGGTTGTGATATTTCTGAGGCGCGGTAAACATTTGAGACATTCAATACAAACTTACTCTGGACGAACGACTATCATGAGATGTCGCCACTGATGCGCGCGGTAACCTGCTGTACCCGACGATCAGAAAGCCGAGACATTACTGGATTTCGTTGAGATGTCTCGTCCGCCTTCGATATACTTCTTGTACTCATGAGAGACATCTTGATCCCAAGTACTACTATCAGATGGCTGTAGCAATACAAATGGCTCAGTGGCGCGCCCATGTTCAGCTGTAGATCAGCCTCATCACCATGTCTTCAATCACGCAAAGCTCCCCACCGCTATCATCACGAAGTCACACTCCGCCGCTGCAGTCTACCTTCAAGGAGACGGAACTTAACACAAATGCTAACCACAAGTAGCAACAAGCTCTACTAGAATGGTTCATCACATCTATCCCAGGCAAACGTTCAGATCACCTACTTCGTATCCTTCACAGATACACGCTTGAACATGGTCTAGATGCCCTACGACGGCACATGGAAGCTCTTGTGAATCTTGACCTAAGACTTTGTCACAAGCACGCCTGTCTCCTTTCTGACTGTGAAGTGGCAGAGGGCGCTTACTTGTACACGGGATGGTGTTTGCCTCCTTTCCCTATTGAGATTCTGGAAGAGTCGATTCGTGCGCGTTCGGAGTATTTGATAAAGCGAAAGGTAGCGGAGTATGATGACATCGCGAAGAGTGTGCGAAAATGGAAGAATGAAGTCGATGACAGGATGAGGCGAAACCGGAGTTTGAAGAAATGTAATGTAGAGCTTTAGTTTTCGCGAATGAAATATGGGAAGTATGTCTGCGGACGTGCTATGGATAGAGCGGTCTGTGTTGGAATGGTGATGATCACGAATGACCAGACGAAAAGAACAATTCGACCACCCCTCGTCGACCCAATATATACAGCGAGAAATAACTCCAAAGGTAAAGGAATGAGGAAGAAGGCATCCGTGACCCGGTTCGTTATACTGGACACTGCTCCGAAGGTGCATAGAAACGTCGCAAGGATAGACAGCTTGTGGTCTTGGACCCAGGCTTTGGCATCCCATTCCTGACGGCTTTGCTCGTTCGGAAGTAGAGGGGCAGTGTACGAGATAGATCCTCCACGCAGATCTTTCGTGACACATTGACGCAGCTCAGCTTCAGTAAGCGCAGTCAAGTCATCGCCGTTTTCGCTTGTAGGATCAGTCATCTGCTCTCGCATGGCGGCTGCAAGCTCGAAGATAGCTCTATGATCACCAGCCACATCTTCTTTCCCTCTCCCTCGCCTTCTCATAATCGTGTAGACCCTAAGCCACATACTGTAAAGACCAAAAGTCCAGATCACGTGGAGTACTACCATTGTGAAAAGCTGAGCACAAGAGAAACCCCATTTATAGTCCTGTTTTGTTTAGTCAAGGAACGGTTGTCGCGCAGATTTCACTTACCGACACAGCCTGGCAGCTCCCGTTTTTCTGAATGTCATCTAAATGATAAGTCTCGTTGGCGTATCCCCATAACAACGGCGACAATTCGTCCACAAAGAACATCTTATCAAAGTAGCCCTCATCGCGCCAAGACTCATTGTGTACCGGAATATCGCCAATAGCGCCGAAATTAGGCTGGCCGATATACAAGGAGGGAGCCGAGATGTTGAGTACGGGAGGTCCCAGAGATTGTCCTCCGAATGTCGACTCTGTACTGTTCTCTCCGTTGAGACCATATGTCAAGGCGTCCACGTGCCTATTAGCAACAGCTGTACTCTTCTGGGTAGTGTAACTTACACCTAGACACATTGAGTTGCATATCGCAAGTTCCAATGTCCCCCCCATAGTTGTAAGCGAAGTAGCAACGGTGAAGCTCCGTATCAAAAGCTTGATATGATGAAGCCACTGGCTGGTTTCCAGGAAGTCCTATCGGACGAGTCAGATTAAAGAGAGTTACCCGATAGTAGAGTTGGAACACTTGCCAGAGTTTTTTCCAGGAGCTGTCACAATGTAGTCGCCATCTAGACCCGGGATGCGCCACCCGTCGTGAATAATGAAATATGCGATTCCAAAGGAGCCGAAAGGGACAAGGTCACCTTCAGTGGTATTAACGAAAGCTGCAAGATTCGCACTATAACCAGTCATTGCGCTGGCGAGAGTCGGATACAGAAAGGTGAAGATCATAGTATATACCATGAAAACCATGGCCAGTCTGGAATACAGGCCGTGACGTTTAACGAAATCTCGAATCATGTAGAGAATAGCAAGGAAGAGACCGCCGTTTGGCAGAAAGATGGTCCGGTATGTTCCGAATGTGATAGGTGTAACTTCCATTGACGTTGTTACGTATTTGGCGAAAACGCGCCACGATATGTATGCGATAAGTGCTTGACCACCTCGACCAACTACCTTCACAGCTGTTAGCTTTCAGGACCATGGAGCATAAAATTAGCTACCTGGTTCAAAGAGAGTTGGAGCTCACTATGTCCCAGCTGATGTCTATAGTCTTCACTTGCGTGAAGTTCATGTGACCCCATGCCAAAGTAATCTGGAAGAAGCCCGAGCTACTCAGATATCGAAAACTTGAGGGATCTATGGTGAAGGAACCATCCGGTAAACAGGCCTCTAATTCCAAGACAGGCCTGGAATCGAGGAATGACATCCATGTCAGACAGAGTAAGAGCATGGCAACCCAGACTACGAAAAGTAGCCACAACCCACAGCGGCGCCATCGTTTACGAATGTCTCTAGCTGCCTGCTGATGACTTTCGCGACAGGCCGTTGCAAAGCGTGATAGTCCTGTGACGAGCGTAGATTGGATTCGAGAGGGTTTGGGTGTCATTGCAGAAGCGGAAAGGTAAGCGCCCGACTTTCATGGAGCATCATATGAAAGTTTGTGCATTCGATACAGGTATAAGACTGTCAATAGCATTGGGAAGCAGGTTGCTAATAAAGACAAGACACAACAAGGACGCGCGTTCCTTCATACATACCAGCTGTAGGCAGACCAGGCGTAAATTGCTTAACAATCCTTCTGCTGACTGCAGCACCGCCTCCTTCCAGAAGGTGTCAGGTTCGAATTTCCTAGCACGGGCGCCCATCACACAGCGTTCTCGATCAGGTAATGCCTCACGCGAGTCTGCTGCATTTGTATACCACCACGATTGGGGACAGGATATTGCTTGCGCTCTCGTGTACGATTGTACACATCGCGGTGGTGGTAGTGGTTCCGGGAGTAGCGAACTGTGTATCGCATGCGGCACAGATGTCAGCGCGCGAGCAGTGCGGCAGCTCTGCCACCAGCCCTGCAGATGCTACCTGGGTATGCAGGATTACCTGGTTGTGATTGGACGTGAATGCATCGCAATAAGCCTAGATTGCCATAGGTAATCAGTGAGCTCCCCATGCCGCTTGCGACGCGTAAATGCAGTTGAACGCGACTCGGGAGAAGAGGAACAGATGTTGAGAACGACGCGGTGGCGCCAACGCTAACATCCTCAGATCGGCCCTTCCCGATCCAAGTCACGACAAATCCCGCGGAGGAGATCTCAACACACAACCATTGATTGCATCTCGGACAACTCAATAGACACCTAGTGGCGCATACCTCAATACAGCTTTACAATTTGTTATGCGCAACAGACGTGCCTTCCGCTTCCAACCACCATCGCTCATCAAACAAAGGCCATCTCTGGCTTATGTCTCGCCACCTCTGCCTTCCGGATGTTGTGGTAGTCCATATCCCCAAGATCAGAGGTTGTGTTTACTGACACCAGCGGATCATCTTGCGATGCAGGTGGACTTTGCCTCTTACCACCCCAGATGAATGTTCTGACGGTATTCAACGTTCCTCCTAGCGGTCTCTGGGTGGCGATCCTCGGCGCGCTCGGATCCTCGTGCTTGCCATGGAGCGCGTCGCTTCGCTGGGGACTCCGCCCGCTGCTTCTTGAGGATCTGGAGAGCCTTAGCACCGACAGGAGACGGTGCCCAAATCGCTGAAATACACTATCCTGCTTTTGTCGGTCGTCATCGACAGGATTGGTGATGAAGACCCCGCGGATAACAATGACAGATGCCATAATGAGCGCAACGCAGGACTCTACCATGAACCAATACGCAGCCCACACCGGTGCAGTTCCGAACGCTGCCGCCGTTGTTTCGGTCAACGAGCCAACGACCCGTATCAATGCGCAAACAACCATTACTGCCGAGAGACCCATCAAGGCCACGATTGATAGTTTCCGAGAAAATGACATCATCGACTGGTTTACGACGACAATGGGAACGGTAACGACTAGAAATAATGAGCCTGTGAACCGGGGTAATGAAGTTTCTAGCTGTATGACTTACTGAGAATATCGCCTATGATGTCAAGGACGCCAACGATGACATTGCCCGCGACACTTCTCTTATGCATCTGGGCATCGCCGCATTTAGCTGTATGAACTCAGTACTCCGGGTCTTAAGAATGGACAAAACATTGACTGACCTGCGTCTGCACCAAAGTGTGCACATATGACAACAAAGTTGACTACGGCATAGATCCAAGCAATGACAAGAAAGCCAACGGTGATCCAGAAAAATCGTACGACTCTGACCGACAGTCCAAGGGTCAGGCCATGGAAGAAGTACATGAAAGCAAATTTGACTAGATAGATGGAATTCCATCCGAAGATGGAGAATATGAACGCCCACTTGGGGATGTCCAAGATCGCAGGAATGTCCTCTCGGAATGGGATTGTCTTCCTTTGGTTTATGGCTTCGACGAGATAGAAAGGATTAAGAGCTTTGTGGACGCAGGCGAACGCTACTGTTAAGCACAGCGACGACACCAAGACGAGTCCATCGTCCCATCGTATTTTTCGGCCTCCAAAGATGCGAATCGCGAAGCGCACGAATACGGAAAGAATGGCAAGTCCAAAAAGGAGTCCAGTTGAGATCTGAAATATTCGTCAGTATTGAGAATATCGGCCAGCATGGGGAGTGCATACCACGAATGGTACCTTGTCGATTCTACCAGCATGTTCGATGGCGTACTGTCTGCCAGGCACGTATTGCGCGGGTGGCAGCTTCGATGGATCAATCGACATGACTGGATAAATGCTTTGGTATGATGAGATCTTGGTGAGAAGACTGAACGATATAGCTACAGAACTTCAGGCGGGACGTCGAGACATAATAAGCACATCTTGCGATGTGGGATCACAGGCGACTGCATAGAGGCTTGGGGCTGAGAAAACTTGAAAATAGTAATTGCATTCAGAACAGATAATTGCCTGCTCATCTCTTGCGCTAATCATTGGAGTCGCGGCTTCGTGTGCTGGATGGTGGTGACAGCCGGAGCTGTTGCGTGTGGGGGCTATGACCGGTCGGCGTCGGGTAATGAAGCACGAATCACAACATCCCTAAGAAACCGACGACTCGGTAGCATGTTATTACCCGGCATGGGTAAAATCACTCCAGCTGTCGGGGTGCATGGCATTGTAGTACAAGACTGCGGTGTTTGTGCTATAGATAGTGCTGACATGCATGATGCCCAAATAGGGCTAGCGCCCTACCCGTGCCGCCCCCAAGGCTACTTCCTCGTGCGCCTTGCACCTTCGGCGGCATTTCAACATCAACACTCGCGAAATCGAGCTCATCTACTCGTGCTTTTGTGCCGCCCTCGGCAATCTTTATTGCACGAAACGTGAGTAAGCATGACGCGGGTCAGCATGCCAGCCGTTATGGCTGTTGCCGCCGGAGCCTTGGTCATGTTTGTAGCCAGCTTAATGGCTAATCGGCAACACATCAAGAGGCTACAAAAGTCAGGTGCAGTAAGTCGACTCTTCGATATACCGCGGACGTACTTCTAATAATAGCCAGCCTATGCCAAAACACCATCCTCTGTTCGGTCATCTCATCGTGTTGAAAGAAACCATCCAGGACTTACCTCGCAACACTGTAATGCATGTGGTAGTACGGCGGATAGCAGAGTCATTCCCCGGCGGCGTCTTCTATCTCAACCTATGGCCTTTCAACGCTCCTCTCATGGTGGTCGCGAATCCTTATGTTGCATCGCAAGTAGAAGCTGCTTTCCTCAACAAGCCACCCAACATAAATGCTACCTTGGAGGTCATCAACGGTGGTCCATCTCTACTGACAATGGAGGGAAGCACGTGGAAGAAATGGCGAGCGCTCTTTAATCCAGGATTTGCTGCTGGCTATATCACAGGACTTTCACCTGCTATCGCCGAGGAAGTCTCAATTTTCTGCCAGCTTCTCCAAGAACGCGCCAAGAAAGATGAAGTCTTTCTTTTGGAAGAGCACACTCTTCGGCTAACATTCGACATTATTGCACGTGTTACCCTGTAAGTTCACCATTCAGTACGCTTGCAACATGGGGCAACTGCTGAACATCGGACACAGTGGCTCACGTCTATACTACCAAACCCAAGGAAGCGCGCTCGCAGATTGTCTCCGAAGACAAGTATACTGGACTTCATTCGGCACAACATTCAACCCGTTCCGTCGCTATCTCAGTCCTCGTCCGTTTGTTCAAAAGTACAACAATTACCGTATGAACCGATACCTCGATGAAGAAATCGACAAGCGCTTTGAAGAGTTGGCCAGCTCCCGCAAAGACTCATCTGTTGGATCCCGGAAACAGACGAGATCTATCATTGCGCTAGCCATGGACAAGTATCTTGAAGATGTAGAAGACAAAGATGCGATATCAGAATCGGTCTTCAAGCAGCTCGCGAAACCTCAACTTCGTTTATTCCTTTACGCTGGACACGATACTACGAGTAGCACACTACTGTATAGCTACATACTCCTATCGCGTCACCCAGAGGCCTTGTCTAAAGTCCGCGCAGAACATGACAAGGTGTTCGGATCAGACTTCTCGCTCGACACCATCACCCGGACTATCGCGGACGACCCCTCACTACTGAACCAGTTACCTTATACCTTGGCCGTCATCAAAGAAGTCCTACGCATCTTCCCTCCTGCCGGCAGCATGCGCGACGGCCGTCCAGATGTGTTCCTATCAGATGAGCAAGGCCATCAATACCCCACAGACGGCTGTAACATCTGGACCCTCACCTTAGCTTTGCATCATAACCCCGAAGTATTTGTGCAGCCAGAAGACTTCATTCCTGATCGCTGGCTAGTTGATCGTGAAGATCCGTTGTACCCAAAGAAAGCTTCGTGGAGAGCGTTTGAGTGGGGTCCCCGTGCGTGCATCGGGCAGACGCTTGCGCAGTTGGAACTCAAAATTGCTTTGGTCATGACGGTAAGGATGTTTGATATCACTCCGGCTTATGGGGAGTGGGATGAAATGCATCCCAGGAAGGGTATCAAGACTGTTGATGGGAATCGAGCGTATCAGGCTGAGATGGGTGGGGGTGGAGCTCATCCGGTGGATGGGTTGCCGGTTAGGGTTACGCTGCGAGCGTGAGGAGGTCGAGGAGAGTCCAAGGAGCAAGGTCCGTATATCGCAAGTTGTGACTTGACCAATGAACAATGTTAAATCCTCATGACACGCGTGTCATCCTTAGCAACATAGCGAAGAATGTACTACATTTTATATGCACCAAGTAAAGCATGGTTACGGCTGTAAGAAGCAAGCTCCTTCCTGAAGCGAAGTGCTAGTACAAGAGCTGCATCTGCATATAGTGTCGCGATAATAGGCTCAGTACTCGCTTTAGCATTTGTACTTAGTTTTCCTAGAGCGTAATGTCTTCACTTTTACTTTCACTTTCACTTTCAAGCTCGCTAAAACATGACGTCAGTGTTTTCTCTCGTCTATGCAATCCTTTCTGATTTCCAACTCGGTACGTGAGCTTCTCTACAGACCCACACTCCCAACAGTCAACGCGATATCGACTGTCGCTCAACGGACAAGATGGACGAACATGCTAGAAACGAGCCTCAGGCTTCACTGAAAGCGTGAGAGAAATCTTCCAGCTAACAACTATTGACTGCTGCTAACTCTCGCGATCAGTTTGCTCTCTTCAGGAGATTACTCAGATATCACCATCACTTGTGGTACCGATACCTACAAAGTACACAAAGCTGTCGTGTGCTCTCAATCTTCCTTCTTCAAGAAGGCGTTCTCATTCACCATGGGCAAGGTAAGTGGGCCTGCAAGCACCCGGGCATGCCTCACCCTTCCTAAGCCGAGGTGGCCGGCGGATTTATAGAACTTGGATATCTACTAACTTGCGCTCATACAGGAAGCCGCAGAAGGCAACATGAATCTACCCGAGGACGATCCACACGTAGTCAAACTGCTCGTGCAATACTTTTACGAAAGCGAATACAGCCCAGAGTTGCCTCCATCCGCAGGATTCGACGCAGATGGACAGGCGATTGTAACTGTGCCTAAAGAGAACGGCTTCCGCTATGAGTTCCCTCATACATGTGCGCCTAAGTGCCCATCTCCGAATCATAAAGTATGTCACCATCATATGTGCCTGTCCGACACTTGTATGGAGCAGTGCGTCAGATTCATTTGCAAGGAATGCACCAAGACTCAACCACCCGAAGATGACGCTACTCAGCTCCTTCTCCATGCATCCATGTATCAAAGCGCGGATAAATACGACGTCGCTGGATTGAAGTTGCTGGCGAAGGAGAAGTTCTCCCGCTCGTGTCAGGCTTTCTGGGATACCGAGCAGTTCGCCACAGCTGCTGAGCATGCCCTCACTACAACACCCGACAGTGATGTCGGACTGCGCGAGCTGCTCTATCAAACCATCGTAGCACACATCGAGCTGCTCAACAAATCAGCCATCGAGACCTTGCTCTCTAAGCATGGCGTCTTCGCACGCGGTGTGCTCAGACGCCTAGCTGAAGACAAGGCAGGCCTGAAGCCGAGAGCCAAGACGGCGGGTTGAACGAGTGGGTGGTCGTAAACGACCCAACTCGCCTCAAGACAGGCACATGCACAAGGGGAGGGAAGGTTGGTGGAGGAAAGATAGATCCATTCCAGATATCTAATCTACCTCACATTGCGTTCCATATCAAGAGTAACGTACAGTACATCAACTTGTGCCCAATGAGATGGGAGACACATGCTCCATGTAGGAAACCAGACGCCGACACCGAACCCATCCCATTCCATATATCAGTAGACCCTCTTGGGTCATATTAACGATCATTTCATATCACATTTACTGGCTAGCGACGCGCTCCTTGACCTTCTCGAACATGGACTCCATCTCCTCGGCGATGAAGTCCTCGATCTCTTGCTCGAGGTGCTGGAGCTTGCCTCCGGCGCGGTGAGCGGTGCGGCTGGCAGACTCCTTAGCGCTCTCAAAGTCACCCTCGATCTCGGAGAGAGAAGGGATGGTGATGGTGAACTCGGACTCCTCCTCCTTCTCGGCAGCCTTCTTGACAGAGTAGCCACCCTTCTCAACAATCTCGGTGTAGTTGGAAGAGCCACCACCGTTCCAGGCGAGGACGTTCTTGGTGTTGCTTGGGACATCAGAGAGTGCACCGACGGTGGCGACGGAGATGAGGTTCTCCTTGAGCTTCTTGGGGGTGATGTCGGCGACAGCGTAGGCAGAGTCCTTGCTAGGCTGAAGAGACAGCATATAGGCGAGGAGACCAGCAATGTGGGGAGAGGCCATTGAGGTTCCAGAGATGGTGTTGGTGGCGTGCTCAGAGCCGATCCAGGTGGAGAGGATGTTGAGACCAGGGGCGAAGATGTCGTTGCACTTTCCGTAGTTGGAGAAGTAGGCACGCTCATCGAGGAGAGTGGAGGCACCGACGGTGACGGCCTTCTCAGCAGCAGCTGGGGAGTAGTTGCAGGAGTCGGCGTTGTCGTTACCGGCAGCGACGGCAAAGTGGATACCAGCGTCAACGGCAGCGTTGACAGCGAGGTCGAGGGTGGTGGACTTGCCACCTCCCAAGCTCATGTTGGCGGCGCTTCCCTTGAAGCCCTTCTTCTTGCCGTCCTTGGCGGCCTTGACGGTCTCAGAGTGAGACTTGGCAGCGTACTCAACACCCTTGACGACGTCGGACATGGTGCCGGAGCCGTTGGAGCGGAGAACCTTGACGGCGTAGACGTGCGCCTTCTTGGCGACACCGTACTTCTTACCGGCGACAGTGCCGGAGCAGTGGGTGCCGTGGCCGTTGCCATCCTCGTCAGCATCGCCGTTGGGGATGGTCTTGCCCCACTTGGCACGACCCTCAAAGTCAACGTGCTTGGTGTTTGTGCCGGTGTCGATGACGTAAACGTCAACGCCCTCACCACCGTCGGCGGCGTAGAGGTACTTGTTCCAGGTGCCGAAGCTCAGGGAGTCGCGGTGCGAGATACGGGCGAGACCCCAGGGGGAGTTCTTCTCGACTTCAGGTTCGTCGTGGCCGAGAGTGTGGACCTCTGAGTCGCGCTCGATGTAGTCGACCTATCAAGGTGTTAGCGCCAAGTCTTATGCAGGTACAGGTACCTAGATGGCGTCACGTGTGCTGATGCGGAGCCGGAGCTGCCTGCGGAGATAAGGCCGCCTAGGCTGCGCTCACTCTAGGCCACCAACGCGCTGACGCCATCTGGGATGATGCAAGCTGGTAACAGCTGGGGACAGAACTTACATCGGGGTGGTTCCTGATGGCCTCGATGGTCTCGTCGTCGAAGTGGCCAGAGTAGCCCTTCATGCCGGCCATCTCGTAGACGTGCTTGAGACCATCGAAGACCTCAGTGGTAACGGGGAACTGCGAGGAGCGCTTTCGCAGCTCCATGCGCTCCTCGTTGTTCTTGGTGTGGACGCTCTGGACCCAGTCGTGGTGCTTCGAGGCATCCTTGACGTGCTTCTTGAAGACGACCATGTAGCTGTTGGGCACCTCCTTGGCAGAGGTCGACGACAGCACTGGGGCGGCGTTCTTGTGAATGGTCTCTACGTTGAAGGTAGGCGACGCGGCGGCCAAAGCCGGTAGCGCGAAGACCAGGCTGTACTTCATGATGGCGGAGCTCGCACAGCGAGAACTAGAAACACAAGGGTAAAGGGGTGCAAGAAGCGTGATAGATGAAGGAAGGGGTGATGGGAGGGAGGAGAGTGTTGTGGAGGAGAGATGGGGATGCAGCTGGGGTAGCTCTGGCGATGGAGCTTCTTATCAGGACCTCGGTGCATGGCCCGGGCGCGCTAGGTGGATGACGCATGACCTATCCGCGCCCGCGCGAGTGAGGCTGGGGTGAGCTAGCGCACGCGCCATGAGTATCAGATGAATGATACATGGATGGTATCAGGACACCCGAGTGCCCTGGGATGCAGAGGCTGGCTGTGTTGGTGGAGCGTGTCTTCACATATGGGTTACTGAGAGCCAACGTTGGTCTGACATGTACTGAGGTAGTTATCGATATGCCAGAGCAGCCGTGCCAGCCACACCTGGGCAATGCGTGCTCACGTGAGAGGCAATAGTCAGGAGCGCACTATGCGGCCCGCGTGAGACAGAACGCGTGTTTATCATAACTATGTTGGTAGGCGATATGCACAGCTCCTAGTGCTGGTGCACTGTTTATCAGTAGCTTGCTTTGCGGCGACTTGACGTTGCTCGGCGCGTGCAGCGTGGGAGCCTGGCTGAGCTCGACTGACTGACAGGGATCAGCTTCGATGACCAGCTTAGCAGCAACTACGACGAGCGCGGAGCCCGCCCGCCGTAATCAGCCCTCATTGTGCGCCCGCCCACCACCAAACGACACGACTAGTACTCCCCGCAAGTTGAGGTCTCATGTGCGGGCTTGGGGCTCGGGAGATATGAAGGTGCTACCCGTGCAGCCATCACCTCCGCCCAAACTCCGCAGCAGCGGTCTCGCCTGAACATGGCGACGACGCGGCCGCACAGGTCCTCCACGGCCGCCTCACGACTGCCGCCGATGAATAACCAGATAGCCGAACTCCGAAGCCTAGCGGATGAATTGATCAGGGCTTCCGAGACCACACCACCGACCTCCGACGTCCTCCACAACCAGAGCAACGCCCTCCGCCGCATGCGCCAGCTGCTGATCGAGTCCAACGACCAAACCCATACCAAAGACGCGTTCCGCCATGTCCGCGGCTTCGAGACCCTCCTCATTACCCTGCGCTCCCTCTCTGGCTTCTACAAACCCGCCGAGCTGCCCACGCCCGACCGCATCGACTTCTTCGAGGTGATCAAGGGAACACTCGATGTCCTGTCAGACGCGCTGAACGAGCATGCCGGTAACAGGCGCTTCTTCGCCAAGCGCGTCGAGCACGGCGGCTGGAGTGCTCTGGAACAAGCCTTGGCCAGCACTGGCATTTTTGGCGGACAGTCGCAGAGCAAGCGTGACGATGCCGGCCAAGAGCAGCTTTTCGGCACCCTGTTCGCCTTTGCCTTGGGCGAGGAGACCATGACACGCATCTTCAGGGATATTGATAAGAAGGTCGAAGTCGCACAACCCAAGCAGGACGAGGACGCAGCAGCCAGCGGCGACTCGCAGCCTACTGAGATCGTAGTCTCTAGCCCGCGGTCCGTGTACAGCGATACCGATCTCGATCTTGACCCACTACGCAGCCAGGTGCGGGCTATATTCAGCGGCAATGAGATACTGCAGAATCCAGACATCATTCCGACCATCTTCCACTTCTGGCGGGGTCTTTCTGGTGAAGATGCCCCGGGCACGCGCTCCAAGGCTCTTTCCATATCGGTGCTGCTTGCCATCCTGGAAATCACTTCCATCTCATCTTACAACAAAGCTGCGCTGCACGTCACTGGCGTCTTGAGCAGTGTCCTACCCCTGCTCTTTGAGAACAAGTGCGCTCCTATAGAAGCTAGCCTCTTGCAAGAGCTGGCAGACGACCTGATTCAGTACGGCATCAACAAGCTGGACGATGCATACTACCTCTTCCGCAAAGCAGCGTCTTCTGAGTCAGCTGCTGAGTTTCTCTTGCGTGGTATGCGCTCCTCCCGCGACCCGCCCTTCATACAATTCGATCTATCTTTGCACGGCTTCAGCGCTGTTGAACTTCCAGACATTGGTCGTCCATTCCCACCCATGTCCCCAGGAGGCGGATATACATTTGCTGCTTGGGTAAGGGTCGACAGGTTCGACGCCGACTGCCACACCACCCTCTTCGGCGCATACGACGATACACAAACGTGTTTCCTCATGGCATATCTGGAAAGAGATACGCGTTGCTTTATCCTGCAGACTTACATGGGTCATTCTACTGGTGTTATACCCAGTGTCAGATTCAAGAAAGCTCCTCGTTTCGAAGCAGGTCGGTGGTATCACATCGCTGTGGTTCATCGGAGAGCCAAGACTATCGGTATCGGCGCTGCTAAGGCATCTCTTTTCGTCGATGGTGAGTTCACCGAGACTATGAAAGCCCACTACCCTTCGCATCCTCCGTTACTGGATAGCAGCCAGGATAGCTTTGCCTCCATGTCTTCTAGCGTGTCCAAACACCACATACTCGCGTTCTTGGGAACACCGCGGAACTTGGCGCCTCGGCTGGGTAGAAACGTCATTGCCTCCAAGCTCTCAGTCGCCTCCTTCCATCTATTCTCTGAACCGCTGTCAGATGAGCTGATCGCTGTATATCATAAACTTGGTCCGCGTTATTGTGGAAACTTCCAAGATAGGCTCGGGTCGTTTCAAACCTACCGTACCTCTGCTGAGCTTCATGTTCACAACGAGATATTACATCCTGGGAGAGAAGAACGATCCGACATCGTAGCAGCTATTCGGGCCAATGCAAGCCATCTCATGCCTGAATCGAAGATAATACTGAGCTTCTCTCCCAGTTCCGTAATGGACGACGATGACAGAAATGCCATCGATGAATCCCAACTAATCCGATCACTGTCACGCGAATCAGCTAAAACTCTGCATAAGTATACCAGACTTCATAGTACTCCGATCATCATCAATGCTGCC